CTCATTAACTGTGTTAACATTCTGTGTTGCCCGTAATAGTTCTCCTTGTATGATTATACTCTACCTGCTGTATATGCTTCATCATTTATGTTCTACTTCCATGTGGATTTTGTTTATTCTAGCCTTTTTCTCATTTGATGTGTATATTCATAAGCTTTTCATTTTTGCCAGTGAATCAGTTTGATACTGTCTTATCGACGCCTCTTGTTCCAAGTGTTCGATCACCGATTGATATCAGTTATAGAATAGTTGGAAACTAGGGAGTACTAGACATCTGTTTCGTCCTTTCGTTTAGGACTCTTCATCATTACGCACCTACCGGGGTTCGAACCTAAAGCCTTATGGTTACAAGGCAAGTTTGTAGACCATCTGAAGAGTCCTAAACTAGGATGGATTTTTAATTGACTTGCAACCTACTGCTGTGCATCATTTCAAGAATACAATGAAGGGAAAATGTGGAGCACTGAGATTTGTTTGAGATGGAGTGATGTCATGTCATACAATGTACTGCCGATAAATGTTTTCTTCACTTGAACATCCTATACACATATTAAGTCAGTTATTCTATATGGGTCAGAAATATGACTAGGGCATCAAGAAAAGCATTCCTGGCAGGCCACTTCAAACTTTCATCAAACAGCTGCCACCTTAGCTGGCTTCATATTGAAAATGAGATGACTGATCGGCTGACAGAAAGAATTAGCAACAAAGAACCCTGGCGATGAACAAACCAGTCAAGAACCCAGTGATCAGCAAATATTCTTAAGAAAATGGAGGTGGATCAGATACATGTTACTGAGGAGACCGTTCATTGACATTGCACGTTAGCCAGGCCATCGCTTGGGTGTAACCCGATTGGGAAACGACGAGTTGGGCCGGTGATCTGAGGATGACGTGGAGGGGATCATTTGATGAGGAGGAGGTGAGAACTGATAGACAATCATGTGGGGCCAGGTAAACAGGACTTCAGGGAACTGGAGAAAATAGCAGTGTGCTTTTGAAGCCCTATGTTCCTCTTGGAACCCAAGGGAATTATATATATATATATATATACGCATAGGGAGATGTAGGGTGCTGCCTGGTTGGGGTCCTCGGGGTGATAAAAACCGATGACAGCTGGAGACAATTGGTGATATGCCTCAAAATCCTTCTCTTCGATGGCCGGCGCAGATGCATCTACTCCTTGTGATTTACAATGTGTAGTAAAATTCTATTGTTTTCCATATTACTATTCTTCTTCCCTCACTCACACTTGTGTTTATTATTTCTGTTTTGAATCTCTCTTTACTCTCTTCTGTTGCTTTGTGTACTACATGGAGGGAGAGTGGCAACTCGAACTGGCGCACGTCTGTGCAAAGTTCTGTGTTGAAACCAGCCAGACAGTCAGTCAGTCAGTTGATGACTTCGTCGGAAATAAAAAGTTTCTCTTTTCTGCAACTGCCTTCTTTAATGGTTCCTTTGATTTAATGTATATATTTTGTAAATTCACTTGTCCCTTTTTATACTTATACCGTACTAACTGTTGCTTATTGGAAAATACATTTTTTTTGATGTCATTGTGTTCTCTGAGCTGCATGGATTATCGCCCTGCTCCTACTAGGCAACATCTTCAGCGCATCATACTTCAATTTGTTGAAGTGAGCTTTTAGATTTCTCCATGAATTTATTAGTCATCTCTCCTGGTGGGTGAATATTATTGTTTGTTTCTGTGTATTTTCACATCCCCTAGAATAATTGTGGTTTTGGTACTGATTGTTTCCTTGATCTGAAGTTTGACCCTTTGTGTGTGAGATTTCCTTCTTATTGGTTGGTAAATTTTGTCTGTCCCGATGTGTCTATTGATTGACGATTCACTGGAATACCAGACGGGCTTCTAAAAATTCTCTAGCATTCTTGGTGTTTCTTGTGTCTGCTTAATATTTGGACGTTGTCCCAGTTGAATTGATATCCGTGGATTTCTGTATGCAACGATATCATATCCGGACAACATTAGAATACTAGACAAAGGAATCACCAAGAATGTCAGAGAATTTTCCGCAGCCTGGTATTCCAGTGAGAAGTGGCAATTAATAGACACATTGACATGGATAAAATTTACCAATCGATAAGAAGGAAATGTCACACATAAAGGGTCAAACTTCAGGTCAAAGAAACAATCAGTACCAACACCACAATTATCCTAGGGGATGTGAAAACACACAGAAACAAGCAATCACTTTCAAGGTCACCCGCCAGGAGAGATGACTAATGGTGAACTCATGGAGAAATCTAAAAGCTCACTTCAACAAATTGAAGTATGATGCGCTGAAGATGTTGCCTAGTAGGAGCAGAGCGAGAAAAGTTTCGCAAATAAACCATCCATCTGAGAGAACACAACTACATCAAAATCATCCACCTGAGGTACAAATCTTCTTTTGTCCATTTTCTCTGGATTGCTTTTTAGATGTTCATGTTCATATTTGTAATTTGGCTGCACAAACTGGTGTTACCCGCTTTTTACAAATACATGATAAATGGATGTAAGTTTAATGCCTTCTTTATCTTGTCTGGATCAGTATTAATTTAAAAAAAAAAATTTTTCTAAATTATATATCACAATCTCAATGTAACACGATCGAAACCCGACTTAATATATGTGTAAACCTTGGGCACTGTGGTAGTGAGTAATTCCATATTAGTTTGTTTATTAGATGTATCACACAGTGTGAAACAGTATTACTTACTGAATGACGTTTCGAACAAAATTTGTAAATGTTCGTAATCATAGCATCAATTATAATCACACGACTTCGAAACTTGAGTTTCATAGTTTTCTTTGTTCTCTCTTATTTGTCGTCGTTGGGGTAGTAGAATTTTCCAGATATCTGGGTGGACATGTGTTGAATCATTCCTATTACACGTATTCTCTTCAATTGATTCGATAAACAAAGCTTCTGTTATCAATCTCTCCCTATACCCTGTGACATTAGATTTCAAAACTGTCATCCTATCCCATCCTATTGTGTGGTTGTGTGTAACTGCATATAGTGAGTAGTATAGCTGAACTATTCTCTAGATTTCTTATCTTATTCGGGTTAACTAATCTAGATTTTGCTAGGTTTTTATGCTCCGCTAGTCTAACTGCCTCTGTTCTACTATTTTGACCCATGTATTTGAGTTGACAATCACTACAGCAGGTTTTCAGATCAATTAAATTGTTTTGTTTCAAAGGCTCCACAGGATCCTTTAAGCGACAAAGCTTGTTTCTAATTGAGTTTGTGGGTTTGAATGCTAGCCACTTTTATTCCTGCCTTGTTAAGAATTCTGCGTAAGGTTTCCGAGGTTCCTTCCTTGTATGGAATTACTACTGATGATTTAGATTCCCTGTTGTTGGTGTTGTCATTATCTTGAGCATGTTTTGCATGCATGTCGTCATTAATATTATTATTATTATTATCACTACTATCATTATTTATTTTATTTTTACATTTCCCTACATACTTTCTGATTAATTTATCAGGGTAATTACTAAGTTTCAAAGTTTCTCTTATAAATTTTGTTCGAAACATTGTCATCCAGTAAATAATAATACTGTTTCTTCACTGTGTGATATATCTAATAAACGAACTAATATGGAATTGCAAAACCCGACTTGTTTTGTTCTAAAATCCAGGGGATCGATCATTGCGTCCTACTGTAGTACAACTGTCCAAAACTTCCTTGAGACACACACAGACACGCACAGTCACAAAATGCCCCAAAGACAGTAAAAAAGACGACAGTTTGTCAATAGGTCTATGTGGTTCTCAACAGTGCCGTTAGGCAGCTATACAAATTACGTAAATTTCTAAATCATTATTATTATTCCCTTGCATTCCAAGTGGAACATAGGGCTTCAACAACACATCTACACTTTGTTCTGTTTTCTGCCGTCCTGTTCATCTGGATCCACGATTGACCAAACTCTCTCATCTCTTCCTCCCAACACACGATCTCCTCCATGTCACGCTCACACTGACGACTCACTCGTCGCTTCTCATTTAGATTCCACTCGAGCTATGGCCTGGCGTGCGATTTCATTCGGCGGCCTCCTCAATATATGCCCGATCAGTCCATCTCCACTTTCTCCTACATATTTGTTGAGCAATCGGCTCTTGGTTGGCTGGTTTGTTCCACTGCAGAGTTTCTTGTTGCTAATTCTTTCCTGCCGGCTGGCCATTCGATCTTCAGTATGGAGCCAGCGAAGGGGGGCAGTGGTTGATGAAAGTCTGCGACCTGCTGGAAGTCCTTTTCGTGACACGCATTGCAAGTTTCTGACCCGTATAGAAGAACTAACTGACATTACATTGGTGTTGAAAATGCGAATCTTGTTTCTAAATAGAAAACCAAAATTCAAGTGTAAGAAGTTAACCTGAGAATTAAGTAGAGAATATTTCCAACAAGGTGGGAGGGATCAAAGACTCTGTCAGCAATGAATCACACACCAATAATTTCCCCACAGACAGTCCAATATCAGAATCACCATGCCCCTCAGTCAAGTAAAACTGCAGTCGTAAGACAACACAATATTAATATCATTACACACCCACAAAGAGAAGCACTAAAATTAGAGATTAAATAGGAACAAAGACAATTAATAAGAATCAAGTCGACATATGATATGCAAACGTCAGAATAATGATATATAGTCTCCAGGAGAAAAATAGATAATAATTATAAAATTAGTTGAAACATCTATATAAATGCGAATATTATATTGAGATCGTTGAAGAGGGATTTCCCAACCAATTACTCCGTTACACTCAATGTAGACGTCATCGACTGAATGAACAGCCAGATGTTTTATTCCAGTTTAAGACTCTTCAACAGGAGTCGAACCGATGACACTACCCACTACCAGCAATCAAATTCAGGGACCATTTTAATCACTGTGTTACTGATATTGGTTCACCATGAAATGCACACTCAGAACCCATAATCTAATTGTATCAATTTCTTATCGTACATCTTCTAAAATAATAGACTGACTGAACATTGCACAGAAGTGGTCCAACATTTCGGTTGTCTCTCCTGTGAGCTAATTAAGGCGACACGGTTTCTGGAAGATTGTTTCACTTATCATTTACCTTTTTGCTACTAGTTTCCTTGATAAGTCTAAATAGTTGTATGATGTTACCGATCGCTGATGTCATCTCCTTTGCTTTCTCCTTTTGTCACCCATCCAGGGTTCATGGTTGTTGTGAAAACTTTTTGCCAGTTTGTGTTTGATCTATTTTCGTTTGTCATCATATTCGGAGCTCGCTGGAATCAGTCCTCTTGCGTTGGCTTTTTAGGTTTAAACAGCCTTCAACTGACTGACTGGATATTGTACCAAGCTTCTTCTGGTCGAGTCTTACTGTCTATCTTAGATACGCATATAGATATTTCTTCCGTAAATAGGGATTCAGAGTCCTGATCAAGCTAGAGATATAATGGCTTCATTGCTGATTTGTTTTATGTCCTTTCAAATCGGAAGCATAAATGTGCACGAACCAGGGTTTGATTGGAGTCTACACACGTGTTCCAGAAAGGGTGACAGTCTTCTACTTACGCTTGTCAACGATATTTTATCGCTTTTTGACCTATTTGAATCCGTCGTTGATGGAGCTCTACAGGTTAGCCAACTGCTAAAATAGGGAATGACACCATCCATCCACATAGTACATATGTCTATGAATATCATAGTTAGTATGCCGACTGATTACCAGAAATTATCTTCCTCATACTGCTATGGACACAAAAGTCAAACTGCAAAAGAAGGACAAAGAAGCTTGTCCCTCTAACTTCTCACTAGAACTCCAGGAAACTTCGTCTAATAGCCAGTCACTAGCGAGCATCAGATCAGTTTTCAAGATTTAGTTTCTGGGGATTTAATCTGTTTCACATTTGACCGCAGATTGATATCAGTTAGAGAATAATTGGAAACCAACCAGCAAAGAGTACACTGGAAAGTTGTTTCGTCCTAGCTTGGGACTCATCGACTGTGCGCACAGGCTGGGGTCCGAATCCATGACCTTCCGGTCACAAGGCGAGCTTGTAGACCATTCACAGCCACTAGGACTTGGCTCACTTGGTTGGTTCATGAATTCTAACTTCTACCAACTCGTGGTTTTGTTTTAGCGTGACCACCAGCCGGTGTCGTCGACATGTATGGATCGACTCCACTGGTCGCGACTTCTTTCTAAAACTCTGTAATTGATGTCAATCCGTGGTTGAACTTAGTTCTATAGTAGACGTAAATATTAGAATATATTACGTATTATGTCTAGTATAATCAGAATATGTGGTTGATCTTATCAAGAACTATTATTACATTATTATCTATCCCTTAGGTTCCGAGTGGAACATAGGGATTTAGCAGCACATTGTCATTTCATTCCATTCTATGTCATCACTGTCATCTGGCTGCACCGATGCCTACTGGCTTTCACCTCCTGCGCATCACCCAACTCGTCGCTTCCCGTTTAGACTCTACTCGACCTATAGGACTTGACTAGTGAGATGAAACAGCTGGCTGTCCAGTACTCCCTGTAACTGGTTTTCTATGGTTCTCTAACTGATATCAATCCGTGATCAACTCGTAAAAACAAAACTAACCCTTACAAACCAACCAACTATAGAAAGTTTACCTGTATATCATTCTAGATTACGTCATCAAGATGTATCAGTTGGAGAATCAATGAGAACTTGGAAAACTGTTTCATGCTAGTTTGAAACTATTCAGTGGTTCACGCCATCACTTCACTTCAGCAGGGATAGAAGAGAATGTAAGACTGTCAGGTTACCAGGCGATCCCTTTGATCATTTATCACTGTATAGGAATGGAATCTCATGACCTCTGAGGAATTGAGAAAAAGTCAGAATTTACGGTCAGGTGGGGGTTAAACCTCCTTGTGGGCTCATTGATTCTCTCTGTTGAATATTCCAAAGCTATTCATCAAGTGTTTGTTTGCAAGGATTTGATTGATTGGTTACAGGATTTCATCATGATGAGCGACAGTGGCTAGAGGACCATTGGAAAACACAGTGGGAACACACTGGTTTCGCGACTCTTCAGTAGTATGCATCCACTGAGGTTCGAGCGCGGGACTTTCTGGTTACAAGGCGATCTTCGTATACCATTAAGTCGTTCGTTGACTAGTGGGGTCCACCAGGTCGCGTGTGAGGGTAAATACTTGCCCATATGCTGAAAATTCTGTATTTGTACCAAAAGTACTGTTTACTTACTTTACTTTACTTCGGCTATCTCCTACGGGAGGATGAGCCGGCTTCATGAACATCTCGAATCATCGCTGCCCAGGCGCGGCGATCTGTAAGAGAGTTCATGAAGTTTCATGGCCTTTTGTTTGAGTGACCTACAAGGCAGTAGGACTGGAGTAGAGAGTCCACTATCCATTGGCAACCGGTGACCGGAGTTCGGTTCATACGCCTTTTTGAATGGGGCGAGACATCCAGGACATCCAACAAGCCCTTTGTCCATACGTCTGACGGTGAGCTCCAG